ATCTAGAATATTAGAAAAGAAATGTTCCCATCTCTGGCAAAAAAGTGTCTGAAATAGTAATCTCCTGTCAGCTTGCTGCATTCTCATGAGTTACCAGGGTCAAATTAACTGAGACCTGAAAATACTACTGAGATGCAAGTTATATTTTTTTCTGTTTATGCAAATTCATTTTAAGAAATATGATTGTAGCTCCCAAGAAATTAGATTTTTCATTCACACTTTGCTTGAACCAGAATTCACAGGATACAAATAAGAAATCTAATTTTCTTAGAAAAATCTTGCTTTCAATTTTGCAGTTTTCATGAATGTTCCTGGAATCTGATACTCTGTATTGCAAACACCTTAATTTTATTTCAACTGCAGTAAAGCCTCCGTGGAAGATGAAGGGAATCTGCTAGGTGGCCCTCCTTGAGCAGGGGGGTTGGACCAGATGACCTTCAGAGGTTCCTTCCACCCTCAACCAATCTGTGATAACAGCAAAAGCTTTGTCCAAGTCAACTGCAATAATAAGCTGACAGCATTTGCGTGCTTGTCATGGATTCTACACAAGGCATGAACTGTAATTGTCATATGTATAATTTGGTGATAAAAAAATGCCTTTGCAGGCAAGGTTTGAAAATTTAAATTCTCTGAAAACACTGTTTACAATTAATACAAAATCCAGAGGATTTTGCAGAAACAGTAGGAGCCCTCCTTCTGTAAGACATGCCCCTTACACCTATGATTTAAACAATCCAGTTACAGCTAGATGTATACAAGACTACTTTTACAACTGTTGGACCAAGAGAGGTTAGTTTCAATTAAGATAACAAAAGACTTTCTGGGGTGAGAAAGTCTGGTATTCCTCAGCCCCCAACAGAACTGCAAAAACCATGTAGTGACAGGATGCAAAAGAGCTGGGGACTCCCAAGTTCTCAGCAAATAGCTGCAACATGAATTGCTACTCTCTGGTTTGTGAAGAGCATAGAGAATGACAGGAAAAAAATGGGAAGTAGGTATTTACCCAACAAAGCAGCAATTATGTTATCTAGTAAATGGCAAAGAAACAAAACCTTCAGCTTTAAGGTCAGACAGTGCCTTCTCAAGGTGTCTGAGCCTTTGAAAAGAGTATTTAGCACAGGAAAATTTAAGTCAGCTTACTATTAAACAGCACTTGCACTGAGCAAAAATGGGAACTAGGCCTACTTAACAGTCATCAGCAGCAGCACTGCAAAATTATTATAATGCTCCCTTATGGCTGGGACTGACAGATTTTCTTCAGTATGAACATAGGCATGCAAAAACCAACAGCCTACTTCTATGGTTAATGCCTACGCAAAATCACTGAGAAGAAAATAACTAACATGGCTTCTTTTACACTTAAGAAAAATCCAAATTAAGACAGTTGGGTTGTGTCAATGCATCTATTTAAATACACATTTACGCACTCACGGAGCACTTTGTCCCTTTGGCCTTTCAGCAGTATTTGTGTTCAACTTAAGACCCTCGGGTCCAGTGATAGCAGCCTGTTGAGGTGAGGATTCCTTAGGGTCAGGTGTCTGTTCACATTTAATTTATCTTAAGATGCCTTTTCACACAACTAAGCAATGGATCTGCAGACAATCCTAACATCCTTACCTCTTCTCAACATCTTAATCCTGGTGAGGAAGTCACAGAAAACCTGGGAGCACAGAACACAAAGGAGACTAGCAGGGGGGTGGGTCGATCGGAATCCGCACCGAGGCAAATTTGTCCTCTAAACGTCACCGGCCTCCTCTTCAGTACCGATACTATTGTCGCATTAAACGTTAGGCCTCTCTCACCTGGGAGAGGCTTGAAAACTGGGTCATCCTCTCTCTCCAGCTTCTTTGCTGCTAACCGGCTTACAGCCAAGGGCCTGGCCCCCGTTCGACTACCCCCACCCGTAAGGAGACTCTCGGAAGCCCCGAGGCCCGCGCCCCCCGGCCCGGGGGCGGCCGCCCCCCGCCGCGGCCGCCTGCTCCTCGCGGCCCAGCGCACACGGCCTCTACCGCAGGTGCCCAGCGGTGGCCATGCTGGGGTCGATTTGGAGAAGCACAATCCCGAACGAGTGAACGACTCTCACGCCGGGGAACGAGAATGCACCCGCACGGCCCGCGGCCTCCCTCCGGTTCGCCCGCAGAGACAAAACTCGCCCCCGGCCCCACCCGGGGCGCCGCGGCCGGCCCCGGCGCTACGAGCCGGCGGGGAGGGGCGCCCC